ATATATATATATATATATATATATATATATATATATATATATATATATATATATATATATATATATATATTTATGATGATATATTTATAAATCCACTTTCAATCACATAAAATTACTCAATAAATTTGACTAAAGTAATTTAAATTATTATTACTACTATTATTATTTAAAAGTGCTCATAGAAAAATTATAAAAAGTAGGTATTTTTTAAAATTAAAATGGAAGAAAGTTATTGGTTAAACAAATTGCATTAATAAACATGATTTGCACGTGATTGTGATTTAAAATGTTGAAAACTCTGTAGAGTCTCCACTCACCAGGCCCAATTTCAGGCCCAAGTTGAAAGAGTCATTCAAATTGGGCCCTTGGGTCGCTCAGTAATTAGAAGATAATTGGGCCTCAAGTCAATCAAACCACCAAAATTTGGGCTGGAATTTTAGCCCATTTTGATACACAACTTAGGCCCAACAGAAGGCCCATTAAGTTGATTTCACAATAGATAGTTCCTCTTTCAACTTTTCTTTTCGGCTTCTGTGTCTGCTAGGGTGAGGTTTTCATTCACTTATAAACAATGCTTCGTTCTCTCTCTTCAACTAATGTTAGATCTCACACTATTGACAGTATCGTTTTCTTATTTATCCAAGCTCAAGTGTTTATTAAGGTGGATTACAGGTAAACTTAGAACCCATTTTATTTGAACAGTACGAAACCCGAAGGAGTTGGATGCAAGTGTATATGAGTAGCAACCCCACCTCAATTCTTTTAATATTGACTTTTAGTAGACTGCACGTACTTGTAGTAGACTGCAAAGCCATCATCAGATAAAAATTCAAACTTTACAAATGATTAATCTTTAAGCAGTTAATCATACGTTACTAACTTTATTAAATTGATAAAATAAGATAAAGAATGTGACGTACATAAAACCTACCTTAAAATAAAATAATGTAGCTTAGTGGGATATGACTGAAGAAGTAGTGGAATATGGATGAAATTATAATTATTAATATAGTGGAATGAGTCCTTTTGTTTTTGTCCTATATAACTAAAGGCTTGTTTTGAAAATGGCCCATCAATTCTTTTCATTTACTTAATTACTTGTTTTTTTTTTTTAACTATTTACCTTTAGAGCTGTCCCATCCTAACTGATTAACTCAACTTTTTAAAAATTAATTTAAAAAAAAAAAAGATGCTTTTTACTCACATGCAATGCACAAACAAATGATTTTGGAGATCTTTTTTTACCCAATTGGATCAAAATTACCATATCTCTTCTCTTCAATTTTGAGATAAAAGGGGTAAATTCAATTAATTTGAGGGGTAAAAAATAAACAAAATTAAAACTTTCATTATCAGCCCAGATGAAAAAACACGGTAAAGAAAAGAAACAAGAACACTTGATTGAGATTCGAATCACTTCACAAGTAAAATTGATAATGTCAAACTTGAATGATTCTAAACATGCAATTTAAACTCATTATTTCTTTTAAAGTTTATAATGCATGATTGATGTGTTCGTTCATATCATTATTTCTTCGGTTAATTTATTTTTAAAAGGGTTTTTGGATTTTTTTTTTTTTGAATTGGATTAAAAATTCAATTTTTTCCAAACAAAATTTAAACACGGATGACAGCTCAAAATTTAATTTATGTATTAAAAAAAGAAAATAAAAAAAGAAAAAGAAAAAGAAAAAGGGGTCAAAAAGGAAGAGACCTCTTTAGCCTCCATCCCCAAATTATATATAAACCCCAACAATGATTATGTTTCCAAACTGCAAATTCAAAAACTTGAGGCCCCAAAATGCAAATTCAAGACTTTCATTTTCTCCCCTTTTTTCTTCTTCTTCTTCTCTCAACTGGCTGTTTTGCTAAGCTTCACCATAACTATTACCATAATTCATGCCCAAATGTTGAGTCCATTGTGAGAGCTGCAGTGAAGCAGAAGTTTGAACAGACGTTTGTTACTGCTCCCGCTACTCTCCGCCTCTTTTTTCACGATTGTTTTGTTCGGGTATGGCTAAATTCTTATTGTTCTTTTCTCGAGATTTGGTCGAGTTTTGATCGAGTTTTTTATGAGACAGGGCTGTGATGCTTCTGTGCTGCTTCATTCGAATAACCACACTTCTGAGAAAGACAATGCTGAGAATCTTTCGCTCGCCGGAGACGGGTTCGATACTGTAATTAAAGCTAAGGCTGCTGTCGATAGCGTGCCGGAATGTAAGAACAAGGTGTCTTGTGCTGACATATTGGCTCTTGCTACTAGAGATGTTGTAGCTTTGGTAAGTTGGTGTTGTTCGTGTATATGTAGTAACTTTTGAGTTGAAAATAGACATAAGAGAGTAGTTGTTGTTATCGTTGTCGTTGTCATTTTGTAGACAGGAGGGCCGTCGTATGCGGTGGAGTTGGGAAGGCGAGACGGGCGGATCTCGACACGAAAGAGCGTTCGACACCATCTTCCTTTACCTGATTTTGGATTGGATCAGCTGAATGCCATGTTTGCAAGACATGGTCTATCTCAAAC